GTGTGCAGCTCAGGGCTCTCCCAGGGCTGCCAGGGCTGCGGCTGCCAGGAGGAGCACCCAGAGGTGTGGGGCTTCCGTGGGGCCGCTCCTGCCTGGGGGGACGGCGGCAGGCAGTCAGTGGCTGCGGGGCTGCATGCAGTGCCCAGCCTGGGCCAGGGGCTGCGGGACCAAGGGCTGCTCTTACCTGCGCTGAAAGCACACGGCCGCTCCTTGCACCTTTTCTCTGCAAAGAGAGCGAGAGCGCTGCAGGGCCGCGGCACAGACAGAGGCTCCCACTGCACTGCAACCCCAGCGCAGAGCTGCCGGGCTGCAGCCATCAGCGGGGCCTGGCCTCCAGTTCCCCGTGGGCTCCCCGTTGGCCGAGCTCCCCACCTCCCCACAACCACAGCCTGCACGCCCTCCCCATGTCCCAGTCCTCAGTGTCCCCCATCCACCCAAGCTCCCCATTCCGGAGCACTGCAGCCCTTAGCCTTCACGAACTCGCAGTTGTAGGTGCTGTGCATCCCCTGGGAGCGGAGCTGGATTACTCTTCTGTCCCCATCGTAGGTGATGTTGGTGACCTCAAACTGCTCGAAGGGTGGGATGAGGACTTCATCTTCAGTGGGGAAAGTGGAGAATTCCTTGATGGGCACACCATAGCAGGTCTCCACTGAAAAGAACGTGTCCTGCCCAAAAGATTTAGCAACCACCTGGTTGAAGGAGGAGGAGCTGAACTGGCCGAAGTGGACCACCTAGCCTTGCTGTGCTGTGTAGTGGATGCCCCTGACACTGCAGTACACCTGGAAGCATCGCTGGGGCTGAGATCTCCTCAGGGTGTGCAGGGCTCTGATCAGGAGGAAATGCAGCGTCTTGAAGGGGTAGGAGCTCAGGTAGTGCTGCTGGGAGCGCCCACCCTCTCGTGTGGCTCTGTTGAACACCTCGTACAGATCCATCTGTGTCGTGTATGCCATCAGGGCCAATCCCTGATCACAACACAATGGTGGTTGTCTGGCAGTACGACCCCATCGCTTCTGCCACTCCTTGATGGCAAATCTCCAGCCTTCAGCGAAGTCCTCGTTGTTGAACTCGGTGCGGTTCAGCTCCGGCAGCTCAGCCTCCATCAAGTTGACGCAGCCCTGGTACTGGTCATCACAGGAGTTGGGGGCCATGTCCATCTCCACCTCATCTAAGGGGCCATTCTTGCTGCTGGCAGTGGATGCTCCAGTCCAGGTGCCGAGCAGCAGCACCCAGCCCAGGACAGTGTGCTCCATGTTCGGAAGGATGCAGATGCCCAGCTCTGTGCAGCACTGCTCAGCAACAGTGCATGGGCACAGGAGGTGGCACAGCCCCGTGTGCTATCCCCTCCTCCCTTCGGCAACTCCTTCAGGCTGTCCCACTCCCTTTCCCATAAGTGAAAGCAAAAGGCACAGGGAGTATCCCACACTGGCAGTGAAACAAGAAACAGCAATGGGACCACTGACTGCTGCTGACAGGGAACAAACAAAGGAAGGGAGGAAAGTTCCCAGCCATGCCCTGAGTGCTCCCGTCCCAGCTCTGGGGATGGAGGGCAGCAAAGGACTCCACACATCAATGTCGGGGCCATGAAGCACCAGGCAGTGCAGCCACAGGGTTGTGGTGTTACCCAGCACAGCTCAGCCCCTCCGCTCAGTGCCCACTTCGTGGGTATGGAGGAGAGAATTGGGAAAAAGCAGAAAAGAAGTCGGGGCATTTGAATGATGCCCCCAGTGAGATGTTCTGTGTTCTTATTAGCCATGTTCCTTCAGCCTTTCCTCACAGAAGAGCTGCTGCAGCCCTTTCAGCATCGCCGTGACCTCCTCTGCACCCATTCCAACACCTCCACGTCTTTCCTGTGATGGGACACCCAGACCTGGGTGCAGTGCTCCAGACGGTGCCATGTGATGGAGGAGGAGAGGGACAATCCTTTACTTCTGCCGTGTCAACCGCAGCGCTCAGCTCGGTGTCATCAGCAAACTGCTGAGGGTGCACTCCATCTGTCATTGATGCCAGTGATGAAGATGTCGAAGAGCCCCGTTCCCAGGACGGACCCCTTGGGGACACCACTCAGCACCACCTGCAGCTGAGCACAGAGCCACTGACCACCACCCTGTGACCACGACCATCCATCCAATGCCTTACCCACCGAGTTGTCCACCCTTGAAACCCACAGCTCTCCACTTTAGAGATCAGGATGTGGTCGGTTCACCTCCTCCTCTCTCCAGAAGAACCTCATCGTGATCACAACACGATCATTGTGGTCCTTTTCAATCCAGGCCATTCTTTCATTCTATGATTCTATGATTTTATGACCATTCCAGGTACTTCTTCCCATGCACACAGCAATCAGAATCAGGGAGGCATCTTTGTGGACTCATCACTCCAGGGCAAAGAAGGCCCCAGATCCTCGATGGACTGCTACCCCCTTGGGACATCTGACACTTACAAAAGGAAAACAGAATGCTCCATACTTATCTATCCTGTACAATTTTAACTCATGCTTTAGCTTGCCCTGAAAATGCCTCTGCAAAGCTAACTGAAAATCTTAGTCAAGCTTTGAATGTTTCAGCTTGTTGGGTATGTAGGGCCAGGGAGGGGAGGATGCCAGTTTCTGGAGTAGCTGCACTAAATTGGACAATCCCAGATTGGGTAACAAACCAGATGGAAAAGGCTGGAGGCAATTGTAAATATGGGGAATAAAATCAGAGTAAGCTAGGCCCCAGATCTGACTTATTGCTCATTAACAGTACCCGGTCCATTTCCTTATACACAGGAATAATGACAGTCCAAACCCTAAAAACGTCGGGTGGAGGATCAAAGTCGCTGTGCTCATGTGGACCAAAATCGACGGGCAGAAACTGATTTACAGGCAATTTGGAGGCAGATTAAAGTGCTACACCAACCCCTTAGATGACTTTGTTTGTTTTCATGGCTAAATGGCATAAGCTCTCTAAACGTGTATTCGCTGCTCTCCTTGGTGTGAGAGTCAGGAAGAGACACCATAATCAGCATCCCTGCTTTGTAACGTTGCGTAGGTTATAGGGTTTCATTCCTTACATCACCCAGCAAAGAAGGTGGAGAAATGGGCTGAGACCAAGCAGAACTCGTGATGAGCCCAACAGCGCGGGGCGAGGGCTGCCCCATTGGATGCTGTGTGTGGGGCTCCT